TGCAGCAAAAGCTGCTCTAGGCTTTTGTTACAGCTCAAGTGACCCAGTGCCTCAGGTAGAAAATGTCTGTTTAGAAGGAAAGATAAATCCAGTCTCTTCTGGAGTCCATGAATGGACATACTAAAACCACCCCAGCTGCAGTAAAGAACAACAGACATGAAAATACATAAATGAAAAACAGAACAGCTGTCAATCAGGACCTGGTTTACAGAGCCAGACAGAGAATTATATACCAGAGTAACAGGATTAGGGGGAAGATAAAAGGAATCCTAGCACCGAGATGGAGAAAAAGGGAAATGACAGGTCACCTGTGCAGAGGAAGAAGAAACATGTTGCATCTGTCATGGAGGAGTCTCCACAAGAGTGCTGGAAGGAGCACAGCAGAGCTCAGATGCACAATTCCCAGGGGGTGAGGGAACAGATTCTGCCCAAACCTGAGATGCTGCTTCAAAAAAAGAACTGAAAGAAGAAAACCCCATTGTATGCCCAAGCAGTTTCTCTTTTGCAGAGAGACATTTGCTAGTGAAAAACACCCAAAATGTTTTCCTTACACACATCTAGACTTGTCTGGTTTCTTGAGGCATATGGGTATTTGTATTTAGATGGAGCAGCTTAAGATGAAAGGTGAAGAGGTCCAGTCCAGTGGCCCAAATCTGAGAAGGGCTCAAATAAAGAGTGCAGGAACAGCCAGGTACATTTTGCCTTAGGAGTGCCTTGCCCAGTCCTTCCAGCTCCTAAAGGCACTGAGGAATGGAGAAAATACAAGCTGGAGCTCTGAATTTCCACATCACCTAGGAGACACCATTTAAGGCAGAAAATCCTCACCACAGCCCAGGGAGGGAAAAAAAAAAAAAAAAGGAGGGGAAAAAAAAGAAAAAAAGGATCCTTTAAAACCGTCTGCCTTCCCTTACCTATTTGTTCCCCAGGCAGAATAGCCAAAGGACTAGGTAAGACAGCCCTGGCAGAAAATATCCATACAATAAGACAGTATCTCAGGGAGATAAAAGTTATTCCTGTAATGTGATTTCTTCTGGCCTGGTGTTAAAGATTCTATTCTACAGCCAGACTGCCAGCCTAAGAAAATATCCTGTGTAAAAGGATATTATTTGCCATCAGCTTTTATGCTGTCTCATCCACCAAGACCTTGCTGTTTAGCTTTTACTGAATATCTGTTTTACCAAACAAGTCAGAGTTAGGGAGTTTTAACATTTTAACTTTGCAAGAACCCAAAAATTAACTAAGTTTTAAGGCTTGTGGATTTTTTGATCCAAGTTGTCACAGTGGGTGAATTGTAAGTGACCTTCACAGATTCCAGATATCTTTGGGATCAAGAGCAGCTGTTCTTTGAGGATTGATTTTAAAAACAAAACAAAACCCAAACAAACAAACAAAACCACACCACCTTGTGGAAGAAGTTTGGGTTGTGTGCAAACTGTTTCTTCCAGTGCTTGAGAGCAAGCTGGTCAGGAAACAATGGCACAGGGCCGTCCTTTCCCAAATAATGAGAGGCAACTCCTCAGCTCTACAATCATGCAATATTCAATTGAGCTGATTGAGTTCAGTTTGGACCTGGTTTTAATCAGCAAAGATATTAAGCTCTGCTGATTTGATCTGGCTTCTCCCTCAGCTCCCCAAACACTCCTGGAGCACAGAGATGGTTGTTTCTGTCACATGCTTTCCTCTGGGTACCCCTTAAAAATAAAAGGACTGAGCATTCCTCCTTCTTGGGGTCATCCCTACAGTATCTGCTTCTCACTCATCTCTTTCTTTTTGGTAAATTCTTTATCTTCCTGTTACTCCCCATTACACTATTAAGATATTACATTAAAATATTCCACAGGAATAAGCCCACAGCATGAGCAACCTGGCTTTGGGACATAACCTTGTTGTCTTCATGTTCTCACTTACTTGAGAGAAGGAAATGTGGCACCTGAATAAAGCAGAGAGGATTAGAAGAGAATGTGGCAATCACCAGATCTACTCATCTCCACCCCTGCTCCCAGCAGCTACACCACTGAGCCCTTCAAATATTTTTCAGAAGTTTTATGAGGATTTCTCTTCTCCTGCTATCCCTAATGAAAGGCTAACCCAGCAGTGACAAATCCAGCCTCTAGAAAAGCACATTTTCCACTCAGGACTCCACCCCACATCTTCCACACATCCCCAGGCTGTTCCAGCTCCAGCAGCTCCAAAGAGCAAGGCCCTTTGTACCTCCTACTTCACCAAGGTGCTGCAAGTGTCAGATATATTTAAGAGCATGAAGCATTCAGATACTATGGAAACCAGGGCAAGAGAAAAACCAAAAATAGATGGAAGACGCAATCTGTTGTAAGGTCTGGAAAAGCCTTGCTGGGGAAGGCTGTGCTTGCTGCAGCTGATTGCAGAGTGGGATCCATTTAGAGCTAGAGCATAAAATATCCTCTCTCCAATCTTTCCGTAGTTTGTCATTTTTCTCTGCCACAGGGAAAGGGATATTCTTTAATTTCCCCTCTATTTAACAGGCCTCCTAATTACCAGTTCCTTTGAATGATTCATATTCTAGTGTGCCCTTCCCATGACCTGGAGTAGACTGCTGCCTGACTGCTTCTGTAGAGCAGGAGTATTTGGGAACACACCATGAGGAAAAACCACCACAGAGCACTCTCCTAAAAGGGAAATCCAACAGCAACCTACAGAGAAGGGTGCCTGGAACTAAGATTTGTCTGCCTCTCCTTTTAATAATCCTTTTAACACCTGTGTTGTGCCTATTTGACCCTATTCGACCTCTACAGGCAAACCAGTTGTTAAAGTAGAATAATGCCTTCACTCAAAAAACCAGAATGTCACGTGGAGGAACCACAGAGGATGCCAGCATGAGGAGAACAAACCATCTGACTCAAAGATGGTCAACCAAATGGAAGTCAGTGCTACCACAGAAGCACCTTCTGAGAATAAAAACTCAAATTGTTTTTCACAAAGTCCCACAGCTTGTTATGGGCTGTTCTCTAGTACAAATTCCCACTCATGTGAGCTAGGAAGAAATTCCAAGAGGACTTTACCTCTCACAGCAGTTAAGACACCATCCTTTCAATTGCCCAAAGGAAATAATGACAGCTTTTGCTCTGTTAAAAAAAACAAACTGTTGCTAACAAGAAACCACTACAGTGGCTTAAACAATAAAGAATTGGTTTCTTTTTAGATTCAACGGAGATAAGGTCCTCATGTCCTGTCCCTCTCCCTTATAAAAAGGTTATAAAGAGCCAGGATATCACATCATCAGACAAATGATTGCTGAAAGAGTAACAGAACACCTAACAGCAGCATTGGGCCATCTTGGTAAGGATTCAGAAGGTTTTTAACCTTTTTGTCCCCAGCTGCAGGGAAGGAGAGATGGATTTACTTCTGGGATGTTCTCCCTGCCAAGCACAGCTCTACCATTACAGATTAGGGACAAACACACAAAATATGTCACCTTTTTGGCAGAGTTGTGACCAGTAGGAAACCACAAGTTTGTCAGCTAGCAAGGGGACACAAGGAAACATCAGGGCTGGTGTTTTCAGCCTCCTCTCCTCCACCATGCAGCTCTGCCAAAAGCCAGAGAAAGGACTGGTGATCAGAATCCGGCACAGCAGCTTCCTGCCCTGCTCTGAGCTGTCCTGCCAAGCCCCAGGTCTCACTGGAGGCTTACACTCGTTCTTTGTGCTTTTCTTCAGCTGCCACCACCCAGGCTGAGAAAGCCCTGAGCCCTCCAGTGAGGTTTGCTCGGTTCCCACTCCCTCAGCGTGGCATGCAGAGGTCACCCTGCACCGAGAGCCAGGTTAAACTGGAGTGGGGTGGCTGCCACAGCCCCTGTTTTCATCCAGGGAAGGCAGCTGGACTTTCTTCCTCTGCTTTCACACCACCCTCCCTGACAGTGAAGAACTCCCTGATGTCCACAAGATCTTCCCTTCAAAGCAGGGCACTGATATAATTATAGGTTGGACTGGGGATCTCAAAGGTCTTTTCCAGCCTAGTTAATTCTGTGATTCTGTGATAATGACATGACAGAGCCTGTGTTAAACCCTGCAACAAGCTGCCCTTCAGCCTGTAGGGCTTTGCTCTGTGTGCCAGAGGGCTGTGATGGGACAGTGGGCACCCCAGCTCCAAAAGTGCTCTGTTACAAGCAGAGAGGGTAGAGGGGGGAGATGTGTAGAGAGAACAATGATGATACATTTCTAGAGCAGCTCTTTGCTCTCCATCACTGGAATACACCTTCCTCTTCACCGCCTCATCCCAGTGGCTCTGCTGTCACCTTCCAAGGCTTGGCCTCTGTTTTCAACCTTTTCTCTCACTTAGAAGACATTTCTTTATTTTCTAGAAAGACACATCACCACTTTGAACAGCCTGGTCTGAGGAGCCAGGACCTCAGCATCCTCCTGGCACCTCGGCACCCCCAGCAGCAGCCTCAGGGACTCGCTGCCAGCAGGGAAGCGGAGAAGGAAGCGGAGCCCTGGAGCAGGGATGCTGAGGCCACACCTGTGCAGCCGTGCGAGGACAGACCCCGCTCTGCACCCCGGGGCCAGCGTGGTGAGAGGTCCCCAGGGAGGACAGCGGCTGAGCCGGCCCGGGGCTGGCACCAAGAGATGCTCCTGTCACCTGGGGATCTGCGGGCAGCAGGTGGGGCTGCCCTTGTCACCACCGGGACACCGACTGTGTCACTGCTCTGTGTCACTGCAGCAGGACACTGCTCTGTGTCACCACCCTGTGTCCCCACGCCGCTGGTTCAGGGTCTCAGGCAGGAGAACCCCTCGGACACAGCCGGGGATGAGCGCACGTCCAGCCCTCCCCTCCTCAGGTCACTTTGTCACTCCACACCTCTGCCCAGGACTTTGACAAAGTCGTGCTTGGGGAACAGATCTCTTGCAATGATTATAATTTGAATAAATTCAGTGTTCAAATAGGGTTTGGGTAAGGACAGAGGCACAGCAATCCCCAAGAGCACGTGGTGCTGGCTGCTGAGGTTTCTCACAGTACCAAAGCTGTTTTGCATAGAAACTTTAATTGCTTCACATGAGCACAAACCTTTTGAATAAACAGGAATTTGCTCACCTCAAGGTGCTGAAATCATGCTTGGAGTGTATAAATGTTTTCTGTTGTACTATTTTACTTTTGGCTAGACAGGATGAAGCTTTTAAATACATAGATTTTCTCCCATTTTGTAGAGTGTCTATTCCTCCAAATAATGCAAGGAGATTCCATTTTTTTGAGCAAATAGTTCTCTGAGAAATCTATCCATCAAACCTATTCACTTGGTTTATTTTCCAAGGGAAAAAGGGACAAACAAATAAAAAAAGAAGTTAAAATACTTAAATATTATTACATTTATAGTCCTAAAATATGCAAATCAACTGCATTGAATTTTCTATTAGCTTTTAAATATTCACCTCAATATACATTTGTTCTTCAGGGCACACAAGAGATAAATAATTGAGTTAACATTACTAGATAAATCTTTTTCCTGAGCTGCAAATATTCCAGATTATAACCTTGCAGTTGCTATGCAGTAACTACAAATGGAAACTAAACAGATCAAAGTGAGCAAGCAGGAGTCCACACTCAAGTACCCAGAGGCCAAATTTTCTGAGACATCCAGGAGCAGCCCCAGCATTTCAGATTGGTGAGACAAGACCAAATAAAATGTAAAACCTCTGAAATGTAAAACCCAGCTTAAACACAGGGTGCAGGAGCAGCCTGGGTTTTGGGATTGGGCCATGAACAATGTAAGAGCACGAGATTTAAAACCAACAAAACACCCTCAAAACCAAGCCCCACAGCAATTTTGGGTATAGCTGTGGTTTTGAATGTCTAAACAGATTGTGGTGACTTTCAGCCACAGAGAGTGGGAGACCTAATTCCATTCTGGCTTCAGGATTTTCTCTGCACTGAGTAGAGGAGTTCATATTGCACAGTATTATTTCCCTCCCAACAATAAACCAAGCCCTCTCATTTGGGAGATGAACTACAATAATCCAAATTACTCCCATACAATTCCCAATAGTGCCCATGCAGGTGGAAGTAGACAGAAGGAATTAACAGCTTCAGTTAAACCCTGCTGGAAAACCATTTTTTTGTGAGCTGCAGACTCTGACAGCACCAGGACAACAGGTGAAGTCAGATAAATAGCAAAGAAAATGGTTTTTTGGGTAGGAGTATCAACTGCTAGCCACTTGTGTGTATGTGGATATACTGCTTTCCATGCTCTTCCCTACAGGCCAAGCCAACTCCTCAAAAATAGAGGAGAGGTAAAAACAAGGGCAACAAGAATCAGCTACACAGAGCTCTTCTGCAATGTTGTGGAGAACTTTTATTTTATCACACCACCTGTTGGGTTTCTGGCTTTGTGTTGGTGACTGAATTGATCAGTTATGCTGCAGTGCAGATCAGCTCTGGGGGCTCTCTGCAAACTTCTCTGTTGACTTACCCAAGGAAACAACAATTCAATCCCAGGATGGTCACTGCTTCAGCTATGAGGAAATTTGGATTTAAATTCAATCCCAGGATGGTCACTGCTCCAGCTATGAGGAAATTTGGATTTAAATTCAATCCCAGGATGGGCACTCTGCTCCAGCTATGAGGAAGTTGGGATTTGACTATCTCAGATTTGAGCATATATGTTTCAGTGCACGTGCACTTTGATCAAAAGCAGAAACTCTTTTATCTGTTGTAAAAACTACTTTTTATGGCAGCCAGGGAGAGAAAAAAAAGGATTACAGGACAAACTAACCTTGTGTGGGAGACAGCAATGTACCATCCCAACTGCCCTTCAGGTTTATGAACTCTCCTCATTTATTCATCTTTTTAGGTTGTTTCCACTGGCTTCTGGCACTGGATCAGTTTTAACAGCTCATTGCTGAGACCACACAGAGCTAAGGTGTTTTCTTTGTGCTACAGCTTCTGCAAACAGACTGGGTGGAAGTTTTTGACTCTGAACTTTGAGCTTCTCATCTGGAAGACTGAAGGCAGTTTCCACAGCAAGGAACAAGCCCCAGGTCTGTTCTGTTCGCTCTTGCCCACTACTGGCATATTTTATACACATCAACTCAAGCTGCAGCAGCATTGCTAATATTCTTTTTCTATTTTTCTCAGCAAAGGCATGGAGTTAATAATTAAGACTGGTGAAATACTCTGCTAGGCTGGAGGGAACACCACCTCCTTAAGTGTAACACACCACAAATGGATGCTGCAGTTTGAGCTGGAGGACTCAAATTACTCCCAGATATTCAGAGCCTGCAGAGTTCTTCAGAGAGCCACTGTACCAAGCATGTTCTAAACCTACCCAGCCCAGGGCATGCAGCTTCACTCTATGGTCAGAGCATACCAACCAGGGGAAAACAATCAAGGCTTGCCTTCCAGCCACTCCAGCAACTTCTGAAGTCATTATGAATTCATTTGGCAGAGGAGTGCCATGAGCACTTCACGCATGCAGAGAGACACATTTCAAATGAGCACTCAAAAGATCAGGAAAAGGCAGATCTCCCTGTGTGGCTGATCCTTCTGGAGTGCTTGGACACCATGGTGAGCCACTGACACCAGCAGGCTCTTCTGGAAAAAGACAAGACCCTAAAAAGAGTAAGTTGCTACTTATTTAAAGCAGCAGAAAGGACACATCATGGGGTAAGGGTACTGCTAGAAGATTACAGTAAAATAAACCAAGAAGGATGGAAATCAGTGCTTTGGTGACCATCCAAAGGACAGTGACTGGCCACAACAAGCCCTTTTCTAACAAGCATGTGCACAGCAGGTATGTGCAAACAGGAATCCACAGCTGGAATTTTTCTTGCATACACAAAAAAAAAAGGTGCACTTCAATTCAAAAATAATTTTCAGCCTCTGTAAGATACATTGCTTTAATTATAAATAATAGCTTAAATTTTAAAGAAAAGCATCACTGTGGCTTGTGAAGAGACCTCATGTACATAGAAGAGATTACAGAAAAGGACTCAAAACTTGCTGGGTGGCAGGGCAGTGCTCAGGGTTATGTTCTAGAACTACAACTAGCCTAGGGCTTGTAGTATCTCAATATATTTTCCAGGTCTGAGCTGCTCTTGTTATCAACAGAACCAGCTTGTGTAAGTACATGGAACAGCACAGAATGGGATCCTGCAGCAGCTATGGACTATGGAACACCCCTCAAAAATCAAGCAAGAGTTTAGCACAGAGTGGTGGCAGCTGTGAACTGTTCAAGGACCAAAAACCTCCAGAAAAATCAAGCACACAGCAAAATGCATCCTCCAAGAGAGAAAGGAGAGAACCTGTCCCTGGCAAGAACCCTCAAGCCAGAAACCCAACTTAATAACCCAACTTAATCTTTCCTCATCCTGATTTTAACAGTCATGATCACTCACAGTGCCCCTCCTAAAAGGGGGTGAGTTTGAACAAAATGCAAGAAGGTGCTTGCTGCAGACACTGCTTGCTCAGCACAACTCCCTAAAGCCAGCAGTGAACTCAAGGAAGAGGTGCCATAAGGAAACATGCTAATTGCATTCTCTTTAATTTGCATGTGCACTTTTTTGTTTTTTTTCTTTCAAATCACTGCTCCAAGTCCTTGTGTGCTGGGCAGAGATACCACTCTGTCAGGCTGTAGTTTCAGTTTCCAGGCTGGCTGTGTGACAGTGTCCATGATGGTGCTGGACTTTGTGTTACACTCAGAGAAGCTGCTCAGAATCAGACTGCAGGAATTGCTGGAGTCTCTCAGCCTCTCCCTCACCAAAATGCAAAGGTAAACCAGACATGGTGCAACTCAGGGGAAGAAGGTGAAGAAAAGCACTTCAGTGGTGCACAAGAGTTAAAATTTCATTTTCTTTATGCCTTCCTCCCCTCTATACAGTAGCAAAGAGGAGACAAAGGAAAAGGAACAGCAGGGTTTCAGTGGAAGGCAGAAGGTTCCCAATGGGCTCACCGATGGCTCAGTGCTGCTGGGTGGGGGGGACTTGGTGCTTCACTGCTGTTTGGTTTTAAGGGATAATCTCTGTATCATCTTGTAAAGGAGACCAAAGTGCTGGAAACAGAAGGGAAAAAAAGTAACCATGGCAGTTCTGAACACACAGAAAACTTAGCAGAAGGTTTAAAACAATGCCAGTGTGCAAATGCAGTGCCTTGTGTGCATCAACCACTCATCCTGAAGACAGAGTGGGACTTGATGGATGAGGAGGAATTATGACAAGGAAGCCAAGTTATACAGAAAATGCTGGCTTACAGAAGTGTTTGTGCAGGTCTGTTTCAACTCATATTGAAGAATTTTTATATTTTTTTTGCAATGCAATTCTGTTCCTTCTGAAAGCGAGGAGAAAGCTTCAGATTCCAACACATGCAGGCTCCTGGTCTCTACAGAAACACTGCTGCCAGCAGTTTCAGGCAGGTAAAAATGGACCAGGCAAAAACAGAGATTCCCACCAATTCACAATACTTTAACTGGCTCTTCTCTTTCACCATTTCCACAGTGGCTTAGAAATTCACTTAATTCCCCTTTTGATTTTGCTGGGGTTGATTGTATTTTGATTTGATGTTTGACAGATGGAACAAGATCCAGGCTTCAAATAATTTCAAATTCAAATAACAGAAGTAATGAAGATTGCTAATAGAAATCAAAGTATGTTTTTCCCCTTGTTTATATTCTTACACTGAGTTTTCAAATGCTTGTGGTTTCCCTAAACAAATAATTTACACAAATAACACAAAGTCATCAAAATTGAGAGTGACCTAAAAAGCTTCCCTTTCATTCATGTCCTTCATGAATGCAGGCAGGAACAAAGCCTTGCTCACACTGTCTTGGTTAACAGTGACACAAAAACTTTGCATTTAATTGGGCTGGCCAAGACACAGAGTATCACATTTTCAGAGGCATGGACACAGGATGTATTTATAGTTTCACTGAAAAAAGAAAGCAAAACTCTGAAGATGCATTTCTAAGCTGCATCCCAAGTTCAGATATTTCCTAATAGTACAAGCTACAAACTTTTAAATTACCAAGGTAACTAAAATTTGTTGCAAAGTTTCAGTTTGGAGCCAAAAGAGGTTAGCAAGTGAGTTATGCATGTCCTTGACTACAAGAAACAGCTCTACAAAACAGGTTTGCACTGGAATGGCAAGAGACTGCCTTCAGCATAGCCAAGTGGCATTATTGTTCCAGCTTTAGTGCTGGCACTGTGTGAATTTCTGTATCTGATTTGTTTTATAAGTAAAATAATACACCTGTGACTCTTACCTGCACTGCAACATAGGCAACGCCAAGGTAGGCTGCAATACAGACAGCCAGGAGCAGGTCAAAGATTGCTGGCTTGACCCTGGAATAAGGAAAAGTGCACATGAAATTGCTTCAGCAGTTCCTGCCAGGGGGTGAGACAACAGCCCAGCATGCCCAGGGGAATTCCATACCTGTATGCATTCATCACCTGCTTCAGCTGGTCGTAGAAAACAAACTCGGGGTCCCTGTGCAAAGGAGAAAATTTTCAGATTCTACTGCACTTCTTGACCCTGCAGTCAGGACAGCCCAGAGCTGTTCCCCAGGAGCTCACCCAACCAGAGACAGGTAAACATGACCACATCCCACACTGGTTTCGAGCTGATTTTAGTCATCAAGATTTTCTTTTCCAACAATCAGAAGCCCTAGGACACAATTCAGAACTCATGCTGCTGTTCAGCTGTCTCCAAAGAGGCTGAACATGAAAGATTCCTCCCTCTGTTCATTAAAACAGCTTCAGTCCAAGCAGGTTCAACAGGATGGAAACTGCCTTTTTTAATTAACCAAAGCTTAGTATTCTCCTGCTCTCAGAGTGGGAACAGTGGAACCAATACAGTTTAAAAACAAGCTTTTCAGACAGAGGGAGCTGCTGGGCCTTGTTCCTGTGCTGTGAGGAATCACGAGCATCTTTCTCTGGGAGAAAACCAAGCATGAACCAAAACTGACAGGAGAGCAGAAAAGAGTAAAGCTGCATGTCAAGAAACCAGGAAAGCTGCAGCTCACAGACAAAATTCTGTCCAGGGGGAAGCCAGTTTGCATGCTCTGGCTGGTTCTTTGGTGTCTTTTCTTACCGTTTGTCTGCCTTCACGTGATGCTGCTTGACATCCTTCAGGTAGCGTCCCATATAATATTCTAAGGTGTTGAGGAAGGTGCTGTCTTTATCAATAAGCTGGGCAGCCCTGGGCTGACTGCTCAGCCAGTCCATCACTGACTCCAGCTGCTCCTGCTGGATTTGCTGCAGAAAAATACCACCAGAGAAAGGGAGTCAACCACACACCAGAGCTCTCTCTCTCCAAGACTTCAGGTTACAATCACAATGCACTGTGCTTACCATCTGATCTGTGAAGATCTGCATATCTGCAGGTGTTCCCTGCAAGGAAAATGAAAAAAAAACCAACCCAGGTTATTGTTGAGCTCGGCTGGGCAGGACAAGTCTGGCCAGCACTGCAAGGTGGGCACCTCTTACCTTTTCTGTTAGATTGTAGATGACCCTTGTCAAAGCCTCAGCAATGATCTGAGTATTCCTGGTCAGTGCTTTAGTGTCTATTCGTGCCCTAAAGCAAAAGAGAGGATTATGGACTTGCCAATGGCATCAGCTTCCCTCTAGAAACAACCCATTTTCACTGCATCAGCCATGAGCCTGAATCCAGAGCCCAACACACAATGCTTGCCACCTGTGCCCTGACCATCAGAACAACACAAGCAGTTGTGAGGCCAGTTTGGGGTTCTGGGCTGGGTTTAAACCCCAGCCTTCCTCCCCCAGGGTCCCTCACCTCCTGTCCATGATGCTGTTGCGCAGGCTGTCCCGGTGGCTCTCCAGGTGGGAGATGGTGAACGCCGGCAAGCGCCGGATCGCGAACCGCTCGTGCTCCCACGCCAGCATGTCCTCAGCCAGGTTAATCTTCTTGTGCACCATGGAAAACTTCACCTCTGGGAACTGGCTGGCAACAACCTGAGGACATGGACAAGCCATTCAAGGGTGCTGCCCACTGCAGAGTCCCACCCTGCACTGCCCTGTCTGCCTATACCCACTGCTGTGTGTTCCACAATGTAAGGTGCAGTTACTGACATTATTAAAGTTGGGTTTTCAGGTCAAAAAGAGCTGTTTCAATGTCTGTACAGAGTGGCATTTGCAGATCTAGTCTGCTTCCCTTGTGGCATGAGTATTTGTCTGCACTTCAAACCGAGTGACCCTAAACAATACATGAGTTATTTCAATAGCACATCCTTTCTTCACATCTTCCTTCCTCTCATGGAGAGCTGTACAGTAAGTCCCAAACTCCCATGAACTTAAAGTGCTTTTCCTTACCATCTCCAGTTCTCTCAGAAATGCATGCTGCAAGGTGCCCTCCTTGGGAGGCTTTGAGACATGAAGATGAAGGCTATTGCCTCTGCCCAGAGTGTCAAGGCAGAGAACAAATGCTACATTGTCCTGCAGCAGGCTGGAATCTGGAACAGAAAAATCCAAACCTTTATTGCTACATCTTGTGCTGGGATTTCCACACCCGGCCCCCCCCCAAAAAAAAGCAAGGCTCACACAAGGAGATTCTCACAGGAGAGCTGGTAATTAATTATAAACATTTAACACAATCAGTCCCTTACTCACCAGTGTGGTCCAAATTGTCCTCCAGCCACCGCTTAGTTCCTTGATAATTAAACTTGCCACCTCCAGATGCAAAGAACAGCAAGTTATACCTGCCCATCAAAGAAGCCAGAAAAGGGTTAGCATGCTGCAAGAATTCCTGCACTCAGCCTTGGAGGTGTGGTGAAATCACAACCACTTGCACCTGACATCCAAGACAAACTGTCCATTAACAAACACTTCCCACATGCCACATACTCAGGTAATGGCAGGACAGATTAAAAGTGGGGAGTTCCCAGGGCTTGAGGATTGAATCATCCCCTCCACATTTAACCCCAAACACAGCAGTTCCTTACCCAGCATGGGTCCTTCTGTAGGTGTAGAGCCGAGAGAACAGCCTGGCCAGTTCCAGCAGCACAGAGATTCCACTGCCATTGGAGTCAGCCCCATGGGACAGCCACTGCAGGATGAGGTGGGACACACACAAGGTGACAAACCTACACTGAGCACCTGAACAGCTGCAAGACAGCACAGCACTGTGCTCCACTTTAACTGCCCCACAGCCTTCAGGCCAAGAAAAGACACAGAGGGGAAAAAAGACAGGAACAGAGAGCTGCAGGAAGAAAGAATACTCACTGGAGCCACTCCAAAGGAATCATAGTGGGCAACTATCACAACAGTGGGCATGTCTTCTCCACCCAGCCCTGTCAGCCTTCCCTGGAGAGGAAAGAGAGCAGTGTCACTCCCCATCACCTCTCATGTGCCTGTACAAGGACAGCCTGACTTCTACATTCCTGCCCAGTCTGCCGTGGCCTCGGTTGTGAGGACTTCAGATTCCTGGCTGAGAGTCCCCTGACTTGCCCTGTCAGACCAAATGTCTGATAAAGTCCCAATAAAAGAAGTCACCTCATCAATGTTGCCAGTTTGAACCCATACACAACTCACCTCCACACTGGGGATGAGCCAGTCATTGATAGCTTTGCTTTGAGCCCCGCTGGTCACCATCTGGAAGCCATTGGCAGTTGCTGTGTGCAGCAGAACTGGAACAAAAACACCAAAAAACCCTCCAATGTACACCTGGGGAAGTTTCCTTCTTTTCCCCTGCTAACTGAGCTTTGGAGAGACCAGCTTTAAACCATTTAAGCCCTCTCACTTGTCACTGGTGTTTATGCAATGACACAGAATCTTGGTGACCATGCTTTTTCATTCTGTTGTAAAATCCCAGTATTTTGGGCTGGTCAAAAACTTCTCCTCAACAGTACTAAAATTAGTCATAAGCAGCAGTTCATTAAGACAGTCATATTATTTACATGGAATAATCAAACTGACTTGTGGTCAGACAGAAAACTTCAGCTTCTACCAACATACCATCATCACTTAGCATTTTCAATGCTGCTTTTAACCTAGTTTTGATTTCTACTTCACTTGCAGCAGTGTGAAGCTGAGAACTTCCTGCAACCGTGTGTCCAACTACAGTCAAGCAATGCTTTCCTTCCACTGAATCTCTAAACACTTTCACAAAGACTGAATAAACACAAAGGTGACAGAACACTGCTTCACGGTGCAGATGACACAGCAGACTCTTCCCAGAGGTGGGAACAGGCCTGTCTTCCTCAAAACTTTTTCCTCCTTGCTAGAACTCACCTTCTGCAGCTGAGGCAGAACCTTGTGATGCAGAAGCAGCCCGTGTTTGTTCATAGATAGACAGCAGCTCCTCATCTTCCACTGCAAAGTAGACTGGCACAATGGTTTCCATAGCAAGCATTTCTGGCTCTATCTCCATGAATTGCTGAGGATTTAAGCGAGACACAAACTTAGCATCTGCTAAACACGACAGGTGTCAAGAAAAAATTAACAACCAAAGCAGAGAGAAAAGTTTTAAAATTAGAATACGATTTGTTGTGCATTACAACAGAAGCTTCCAGCCCTGCAGCAACCAAGCTTTTCTCCAATACGCCTCCCATGGGAAGAGGAAGAAAACTTTTTTGTTTACCCGCACAACATCCTGGGGGACAGAGGAGATGGATCGTGGCAAGATGATCACCACAGCCCCGGCTGACTGGCGCAGAGCCTTCTGGTACTGCTCGTAGGAGAAGTCCACCAGCCGCATCATGACGCAGCGGCGGCTCAGCACGTCCGCTTCCACGGTGCGCGCCTCCGTGTTCAGCACCGCGCTCCTGGTGCCTGCCAGCAGGGAAAGCAGGAGAGCTGGTGAGGCACTGCACCCCAACCCCTCTGCTCCAGCCTGCCTCCTGCTCAGAACGCTCCTGGGGACAGTCTGGTGGGCTGCAGAAAGCTGAGTTTGCCTGTTCCTCGTGCGAGAAGGAGCAGAGGTCTGTGGGTTTTCCTGTGCAGCCACATCCTGCCAGACCCCACCTTGTTCCACACCACAGCCTCACCTTCCGGTCTTCCTCCTCAGCACAACACACAGGCTACCTGTCTGCTCACCTGCACCTAATACCTGCAGCCAGCAGCACACCTGGAGACAGCCTGGCCTCTCCAGAGCCTCCCCCAGCTGTAGAATCAAGCTGTGCTGATGACACCAGGCAGCCCCATGTCACCCCAAGGGCTGCTCTCACTCTGCCACAAGGAAGGCTCTGTAGCTGGCAGAATTACAGAGGAGCAGGCTGCTCCTGAGGGCTCGCCCTCTCCTACTCTCAGTGCCAGCAGATCAAATCCCCCACATGGAAATGCAATCCAGGCTTGCCAGAAGCTCCTGCATTCCCCAAGGGAGGGCCAAAAGGACATCTTGTCCAAACAAGAGAGGGTCAAATCCACCTTACAATTTATAATTCAATTTCTTCTTCTGTAGCTCTGGCACCTCCCCTGGAGATCTCATCATTCTGGGTCCCCACAGAGGGACAGACGAGGTGCTCCAGCCTCTGTCACACAGGAGCATGGCTGAGAACTAGGTTTAAACCTGGCTTAGCTTAACTCTAACATTAGCTTGGTCTCATCAAAGGTCACAGAAACACCTAAACAAGAAAAATCTACACTTCTCCTGCACAGTATGAGGGCCACATACCCAGAAACAGAACCCAGGCACAATGTAAATTCTCCCCACAGACCTCTGACACTAAACAAACAAACATTAATGGCACCCCTGCTCTAACCAGAGAAAAACAATTCAAAATGAGGATAATCCCTCCACCACTTCCAAAGGAATGATGTGGAAACACAGCAATGTGTGCACTCACAGTTCTGTTCTCTCTGCCATCTAAGCAGAGCAGACACAACAGTACTTTTCTGACAGGTTGATTTTCTGTAGCTTCTCTACAGAGAGAGCTGGTTAATAATCACTGATTTACAAACTAAAGAATTCTAATTCTATTAGTATTAGAGGAAGTCCAAGCTTGTTCTTAAATTGCTCTATGAGTGATGCTGACATAAAACTCTTCCCTCTGCAAGAAGAGGCTGAGCAGCAACCTGTTACTTGGTATTTTTGGAAAAGGATAAGAGAATCTGGAACAACAAATCAGCTCAGTTAGTCAGAGGATGGTGCTGACAATGCCAAGCTTATGGGTTTGATCCCTCTGTGGGTCATTCCCTTTGAGAGTTGGACTTGGTGATTCTTGTGGGTCCCTTCCTACTCAGACTGCTCTGAAATACAGCTTTTATCCTGAAGGACATCTCAGAACACACAAGGAAAAGGAAAAGCAGCTACCCAAAGGGAGGAGGAAGGAACAAAGGAAACACACAGCCCACCAAGCTTAAAGGCTCCAGGAAAAGAAACAGCATAAAAAGTTAACTGGAAGCATCTTAAAGAACTAACACCTGGCTTTTCAAGAGGTCACAAAATTGTGAGCACTTGGCTAGAGGGGACACTCAGGCAAGCAAAGTCAAAGTCAGCTGAATCACATTCCTGCTGCCCCTGTTCAAGCCTGCCAACAGCTCCCAGCACCTGAGAAAAGACAGCGAGTCCTACCCCCATGCAAGGGCCTGCCTTGGAGCTACTGAGGCTGTCAGCAAGAGAGCCCTCAAGATGTGGACACGTTCTAAGAAACTGTGATGGAAGAGCCCAGAAATAATTTAATTTATTTAGAAGCCACCAGAGGCATGAAGTGTTTAAGGAATACACAGGCACAGCTGCATTTCATAACTTATATATTTGAACTTATTAAGATCTGAAAGAATGAGGGATGGCGTCTCATGGGCAGCACAAATTAAACGTGAGGCTGTTCATTGGTAACTCCATAGAGGAGTCACTCACAGACAGAGCAACATGCCCTGGTCTGGAATAAAATCTCTACAGAAGACCCAGAAACAACCGGTGCTTCTGGGTTTGTGGGCACACAGGGGAGGAGGCTGAGGGTTGCAGCACCTCAAGGACTCACAGAACAGGGTGTGTCTCTGACCCAAAGAAAGGTGTTGCACAATCAGCAGGCTGCAGCTAAGAGAACAGAGGATGTAAAGGTCAGCTGTAACACAGGGGAAGGACGAGCTCTCAAACGGAGCCACTGGAGCAACACACAGAGCTGAGGATGAAGAGCAAAGACGAAGCAACCTGTCAATAAAGGAGTCAAAGGCAAAAGGACAAAACTGAGCTCACCACCGAGTTTACCAGAATGCAGGAGGTATGCAGCTGGGCTCCTCAAAACACAGAGCCCTCAGCCCACAGACAGGGTCCTTGGCTAGGTGACCATCTAGGTCACCACAATGGAGCTCCCATCCCCTGTCCTCCTCGTGCTGAGCCTGGGCAGCGAAATTCAGCCAGAAGGGTCCCTCCTGCGGCCTCCCCTGCTCCTGAGCCTGGCCCCGGGCCCGGCTGCTGCCGCCTCCCAGAGCCCCCGAGCCCTCCCCTAGGCCTGGCCGCCCTTCCTGGGCCGCCCGCAGCTTCACGGCCTACCCTGGGCTCCTCCCCGGGCTCGGGGCTCCCTTCCCACGGCCCCACCACCCCTGAAGGGGCCGCTGCCGGCAGGACCGAGCCCGGCCGGGCCGTGCAGTTCCTCACCATAGGGCTGCCCGCCCAGCTCGTACTGCTGCATGCGGTAAACCGTGAACTCGTGCGCCGCCTCGGCGGCGGGCGGCGGCCCCAGGAGCAGGAGCACGGCGGGCACGAAGAGCAGGACGCTGAGCGGGAGGCACGAGGCCTTGAGCACCGACTCCAGCACCTCACCCGCCTCCTCCAGCATCGCCGCGGCCCCGGCCCGCACTGCGGCCTGCTCGG